GAAGTGATTGATTACACCTGCCACAGTTTCTCAAATCATCCAGGGTTGACTGGCAGAGAATGCCATAAGGCATTAAGTCTGCCCTTTATATCCCTTAGTATATAAGGTGTATAATGAAGATTAAATAAATAAAATAAATAAAATGCGTTGATATCGACGGTCGCATTCACGGACCCCTAGGCAAAGAAACATTTGGCGAATATCGACGGATAGTGCTATACTGAACAAACGAAAATTTGCTATTATATTAAATAAATTGCCCTGTAAATTTTGCACACTATAGAGAATATCGTTAAGAGAAAGGTGAGTGGTTGTTCTAGCACTAGCATCGAGTACTACACGTAACTTGGACGTAACTTTGTCTTCCCTAATGATACCGTGATGTGGTATGAAATACGACGGCGCGTCTTCGTAGTTATCTAATTTTGAAGCCACAAGTGATATGTAACCCTCCCTTATATATTCATTAATGACGCCGTCATAAGTTTCTTTTAATCTGGGCGAGGCGAGCATCCTGCGCTCCAAACAGTAGAAACGTTTTTCCGCCATTTTACGCGAGTCGCCGAGAGACAAAACATCTCCTTTAAAGGGTAGCACTACACTATATCGACCGTCGCGATCACGAACGGTCGTGCGGACGTAAATTTCCTCGCATAATCTATCATCTGGGATAACTATAGGTGGAACGTTCACCTCCTCCATCTCCCAAAATTTGCGAACTAACGACTCGAGCGGTTCGATAGCCGTACAACAATAAGAGGTTGCCGAAATATTATCCATGATAGGGGCGGAACCAACGATGACGTAGCCCAAGACGGTCTCCACTGCGTAAGGCGCGGTATGCGAGGGGTTGTCCCTGACCTCATTGCGTAACAAAAGATGAGGGAAAAGCGATGCTCCAATGAGCATGTCTATATCTCCGGGAACGGCGTAATTATCGTCTGCAAGAGTCAAATTCTCAAAATCAATCATTGCCGAGGTGTCGACCGAAACGGTTGGCAGACGCTCGGTGACTTTATCTACTACTAATGCATTTATATTAAAGTTAATACTACGATCTAGCCGAGAATAAAATTTCAAATTTATAGAGCCCTGGGTAAACTTATTAGTACCTCCGATGCCTTTGACTACGGGACATGAAGGTGTCTTATTTATTAGCAATCCTAAACGCTGGCAACATCATCGCGTTATAAAGCTACTCTGGGATCCGCAGTCTAGCAACGTACGGACACTTTGTCCGTTTCCACGCGAATTCCTAACTACGATACGGGCTGTGCCCAGCAGCACGGTGGAAGGAGACTGCGTTCCCGTATTCGATAGTGAGCACAGGGCGACGTCACCCGGTCGGCCGTTAGAAGCGTTGACTTTAGTATGTATAGTTTCCTTGTCCGAATTATTCGACGCGAATATGTTGCCACCTTCGAAATGTAATAACGTGTGATGTCTGCTGGCGCACTTGTTACACACGGAACTAGAAATTGCATTTAGCAAATAAATGTCTATCGCTTAGGCAATTTAAACATAAGTTGTTCGTCTTTACTATTCCATAACGTTCGCTGGGTGAATGTTTACAGAAGGTCGCACAATTATACAAATTACCGTGTTGTTTATTCTTACATAGAACACATGCGCTATGAGACGATGTAGGCGCAGCGGTTACGTACGTCAGCGACCCAGCGGTCCTAGCGGTCGACACATTTCTTAACTTCTTGTTTGACATTCGAGGAATGCTGTATCACTTTAATTTGATCTCGTACAAGGGATGCTAAGGAGTCGAATGAAAGTAACTCAGAGCTACGATGCTCCATTTCAAACGTACGCACGGTGTCTGAGTCTAGTTTCTTTAACCCTAGAAGCCTAATCTATCTCAGAGATACATAAAGCCTTAACATACGTCTCTGAGGCGTGCATATATAAATAACCATTTCTGGGCTAAAGTATAATTATTTGCGATTTTTTTAAGGACCCGTAAGATAGGTATTTATTCTAGTAACAAAACACAGATTCATTAATGAAGACTGCTGACACAGCTATTTATATTACAACAAAATAAAACAATGTGCTTATATTCGTACAAAAAAAGTAACTTCTGATTAATCAACGGTGACATAACTATCTTATATGGTTTTTACTATTTAATTACTTTTTCTTAGCACAATTATTAAATTAAATCAGATTTTCACAGACTAGCTTAGAGCAGTCTACACACACATAAACTTTGTGCTCGCAACATACTGACTTTTTGTACTTATAACACACTAATTTAGGCATTCTCTTTTTTTTGTAAGAGCAAAAAGGGTAGCATTTACGGTTTTTGGGCTCAGGTTCTCCCTTCTGAACTTCATTACTTGATCAGTAGATTTTATATTATGTTTATGTTTTCTCGTAAAGATTTTTTCAAAGTCAGCGCTTCTCATCTCCATCCAAGGCTTGGCCAAATTTGTGTTGAGCTGCTTCATGATCTTTCTTCTATTTAGGTTTTTTTATTGTTCTTGATAATATTCATAGCTGAAGTTCTCTGAGATGTAGACCCTTGGTAGTCGACCTAACATTCGTTCTAACCGCGAAGTGTATTTCCGGAGACACGACGTATAAGTCTTGAGCTGTCAAAATCCAAGACTTATACGTCGAAAATGAGCAAGAGTAGATGGGTGAGCTGCTGCAGCAGTTGTTGAGACAGTTTCTTCTGTCGAAGCAGATCGTAAAGAGAAGTACTCGTCAGTAACATAATCGTTCGCGTCTTTACTCTGAACATCATCCACAGCTTGATGAACCATGATTTTCTTCGTCTGAGATCGCCAATATATCGGCACTGTATAGCCATTTTGATCGTGACATATTTTATCTAAAAGAACGTCAATATAACGAATAAATCGTCAATATAAGTCGAAATCGGCGGGACCTACCTTAGCAATACGAGCACTATCAGCAGGCTCTAGGAAGCCACTGAGTTGCCTAAGCCGCACAAATCGTCAACTTCACCCCTTATAAAGAGATAGACAGTTTCCGAATGCGTGTACGCCTCGCAGACGTGGATAAGGCTTCTAGGGTTAAGGCGATATGGAGAAACACCACGTCCATAAGGTCATTAAATTTCAGGTTCTTGAGTGCAGCCACCGATGCTACAAATTTATCTAAAAACTGCTCTAAGCCAGTGATGTTCGCGAATGATATAGCTTTAAGATCGAATATCTGGTCTAAATATGCAGAGGCTAACATTCGTTTATCTTCATATTTGGTTTTAAGCGTTTCGAATATTAACGAATAATTGTTTGCTGTTGATGTGAAACCCGAACAAATGGACTGTGCCCTACCCCTCAATTTACTAATTAAATAATATAATCTTTCAGCGTCCGATAACGATGGATTATTATGTATGGTGTTTTGAAAACTATTAATAAACAACGGCCAAGTTTTAATATCTCCATTGAATACCGGAATATCTATGGGGGTAATCTAAGTGATTCACGTGGGCGTACCTGGATTTCTGGTTTTGCTTCGCTTTGGGCTGGAGACTGTAAGAGCTTTGCCGTCCTTTTTATTTGACACAACATATCTTCAAATGATAGAAGTGGTTGATAGTTCGCTGTATACTTAGGCTCGATTTGTAATTGTAAACTATTAATTTTGTCTAATATATTTTCATAATCCGATGGTAAAGAGTCCACCGTTTCGATTTCACATAAAAACGTTTCCACCACTGAATATACGTTAATATTTTTTATGTGATCACTTATATATCGTATACGTGAAAAGAGTACGTCCCTCTTGGCGTAAAGAGTTTTAAGTTTAATTTCATTTCCACTAACTGCCATCTTGAATCATTATAATTAATATTAGATTAATCACGAAGAATGTACAACGCTGGAAGATGAACACAATGCGCTGCGTGCCGTATTACGTCGTTAAATTGAACACGTTGTCAGTAATATTTTTTTTTCGTGAAGGTAACTTGCAATCAAACGAAATAACACGCGTCGACTAGATAAAAATTTAAAGCCCCTGTAATTACAAATAGCGGGTAAGATAAATAAAATTAAGCGGGTCTAAATATTTAAATAAATAAGTATCTATTTACTACTACCAAACTAACTAACTTACCAAAATTTAAATTTAAACTAAAACAAAACTACATACATCTATCCAATATTAAATTAGAGTGCATTGTCTAAGGAATTAGTTCAGCAGTTCGACTCGATGAGGCTACAGGGCGCCAGTTCCAAATCCGTTCGAATGACCAGAAAATGGTTGGGTGGCGGGCCTAAGGGTTCCCGAGTTCGATTCCCAGGTTGAGCCTTGACCCTATTATGCGAGATGTTATACCAAGTGGACTGTATACGCGATGGCTTCTTATGCCTCAACAAGATGGCGAATGTGACACACGGCACCTTAGACAATGCACTCGCTCTTCCAAATCTATTGCTTGCCAAGGTTAGGAGGGGATTCTACTTGAGCACATTAGGAGAAATAAAATGGGGCGGGTTAACTAATAAACAAAATGCTCAAGTCGGAGCGTTATTACGGGAAACACTTACCCGAGTGTGATTCTGATGGTGGCGGACGAAGCTTCCGCTTCGGTGATGCGATGTGGGGTGGGTTCTTCTGGGGCGCCCCAGAGATACGATCCAGGCCAGTGGTGCGAAGGAAGAGGCGGTGCGCGACGATATCTCACACTATGTGAGGCGGTAACTTCTGAAACGCGACTGCTTCAGGTGATGCGGTTCAGACTAGCGGCGCGTGGCAAGAGGACGCTCGAGGACAGCGCGCGAGCCTTTATTGCCTCGGCTTTTCCACCAAGCACCTCGGTCGGACGCGCTTCTCATTGGCCGAAAGTATCGCGTCACCTTCTAGACCCCTCCCTCCCTCCTTTCAGTGTGTATGGAAGGGACATGAGGTCAAAGGAAGGATAAGGGCTTGGCAATATACCCTCGAATAAAATTAAAATACAAGAATCGTTTCCGCGTAACCAGCCTCTACTGATGATTTTTCCAAGACAACGAATGAAACCAGAACTTTTAGATCATGCTCCACCAGGTAATACAGCAGTTTGCAATCTTCGAGGCTGGATAACTTCAGAAATATTTTTGACTTGGTTCAAAAATTTCATCAAATTTTCCGGAGCTACTCCTACTAACCACGTATTGCTGCTTCTAGATGGTCATGTTAGTCACACTCAAAATTTAGAAGTGATTGATCTTGCTCGTGAAAATGGAGTCATTATACTTTGTTTTCCTCCTCACTGCACACATAAAATGCAACTCGTAGACGTTGCATTTATGAAGCCACTCAGCACTTATTACGATCATGCTGTTATAGGTTGGTTAAGATCACATCTTGGACATGTGGTAACTGTATTTCAGATAAGTGAAATATTTGGTAATGCATACGTTCAGGCGGCTACAATGTCTACCGCCAATAACGGATTTAGAAAATGTGGTATATGGCCATATAATCATAATAATTTTACTGATTCGGATTTCATTTCTGCTGAGGCTACGAACATACAAAATATTGCAGACTCGTCGAAAGTTAAACAACAAAGGGTATCAGAAGCCGAAGGTCTTCAACCTGGAGCAGTACCATGTCTGTCTTTAACAACAACAGTCACAACTGTATCTTCAACAGCCACGATAACTTCTCATACTGAAACTCTTGCAACAGAACCTGAAGTTACAACGACATCTTCCACTCCACCTAGAACAGAGTTAATCGCCGAATGTTAAAACACCCGTCCCCTAACCTGAACCTGGATTTTTATTTTTTTAAACCAGCCATTTGTGCAGCGTGCCGCAATTTAACGTCTATGTAGCTTCGAAAATGCATCCCCTAGTGATATCTTGCCAGTTCCTTCTGTTCAACAAACTAAAAATAGGAAAGAATACCGGCCAGGAAAAACAGCCACAATTACATAAAAATGAGCTGGAAAATTTGAAAAAGTCGGGGAAAACATTCAATCCTAATGATCCTTGCCACAAAAGAATTGCTAAAAATAAACAAAAGATCAAACAGTCAGACAAAACACAAAAGAGCAATGATGAAGATGCCATTTGCTTATATTGTAATGATGTAAACCACAGTTTTTTGACATCGTCAGAACCTTGGGTAGCCTGCCAGCCAAGTGTATGAGAGTGAAGAATATGAATCTTCAGTAGCTAAGATCTTAAAGTAATGGCTAGTATTGTTTCAGCGGTAACTGTGCTTCGTAAGTTTGTATCTTGTTTCTCATTTCTCAATTCAAAGCTTCGGTATCATAAACGTGATGAGAGTGTTCAAAAACTATGGTCACTATAGTTCGTGCCAAATAGATTGAGAATAACGGACGATGACCTCAGATATAAGCCGAGTGTCAAAAGGCGTAACTTACAAAATCTCAATTTAGATGTGATAAAAATATTTAAATATTGATATTATTCACATTTCTAGGTCAGCACATATGTTTTGTTTTTTGTTTCTTAAAATAATATTGTCTGTGGTTCCTATAAACATCGTAAAATCTTACGGTACATCGCGAAAAATGTGTTAAATTTTATATTTCAATTTATGGTAAGTAACGCAGCAATTAATTTAATAACAGTTTCATGTTAAAAAAAATATTAGAAGCAATATAATCATATTGAGCTTTTGCAAATTCATACCTTTAAAATAAACAAAACGCGCGTTACGTCAGTTCGTTCCAAAAGAAACTTGATAATGGCAGCCAGAGATGCGTCACTTTTTTTGGCTTGCCTTCATGCACCGAATAAAAATAAAGTTCTTATATAATATTGAAAATAAAGTTTTATCTTTTGAATAAGTAAGTGCTTATTCCGTGTCGTTATCACTCGAATCTTTATATGTTCTATAAATTAATGCTTTTTGTTGTTAAATAAATAAAGTACTTTATAACAATTGATGATTTTTTTCTACAGTGATCTTTTACATAACTTTTTAATAATAGTTAATAAATATATACTATATCAATCATTATAAAAAAAATAAAAAAATCATTATAAATAAAGCAAGTACTTCATATAAAAAGTGCCTATATATTGAAAGTTTGTAGCCCCTGGTTAAACGACCGAAAGGTCAATGTCCGCTTTTCTCAATCGATTTGGCACGAACTATAACACATTATATCCTTTTAACAATAGTTTGTCGTTTCGAATAGTTTCCTTGTTGACTTTTTTGACAACAAAGTCTATTTTAGACACAAAACTACTAAGAGTACTTTTAGACTTACAGTTTTGTCCACAAGACGATTTATCCGATTTTTTATTGTATGATGAATGTTGACATGTATAGTTTTTGAAAATACTGGGCTCTTGTGGATGATGATCTGTATAGAATAGGGCAAAATGCAGTGTCTGACATTAAATTATCGTGTGAATTTTCAACTTTGCGACGACATGTGACAAAAACAACATAAAAAAGAAACTTTTACGTTGGAGAAAAAAATGAGGAATAGATAATTTTAAAATAAATAATGAAATACGGCAATTCAGTGTTTTTTCTTTAAAGTACGGCAATCAAGATTGTGACAAACGGCAGGTCAGATCATAGATAAATAGATAATACTATGTAGCAAGCTAGTCCAGATTTTACGATAGCAACATTGCTAGGTTTAAAGTGTCAAAATGACTACGCGAGGACTTTTGGCGGGAACTCCAAACGAGGCGGTCGATTTAATAATTTTTACTGTTTTTCGTTTAAAATATCCTGTGTGGATATTACCAAAACTTATTTTAGTCAGTGTAAATAATTGTACATTGTGTGAATTATCAAAATGAATGAACCGGAGGACCCAGGTGGAACTTCGAAACGATCCAAAATTGTTCGTAAAAAGAGGTACGAAGGAATGTGGACCTGAAGTAGGCGGCGGTGAGGATGACTTTATTCCGTTTTTTAAGCCAGGTTATCTGAGACTTTATCCTGAACATTGTACAAATACGGACTTTAAAGTTTTTGTTGAAAGCCGGGACCAACAGGTTAAAATTGGAAATAAAAGAGTTTACTTAAATCATATTTTTACTTCGGAGGTGAAAGGTGTGGTAGCTTTACATAGAGTGAATGCCAATAAAATTGCGGTTGTCTTTAAACAATACAACACTGCAAATAATTTCATCACAAACACAGACTTTTTAACAAAGCACAACTTGAAGGCACATATTCCTGCAGGGCAGATAGAAAAAACTGGAATCATCAGATATGTGCCTACCAGCATTTCGAACAAGGATTTATATACGAAACTGTCTTCGATCTATGAAATTGTTTCAGTGAGAAGATTCACGAAAAAAGTCGGTCAAAGTACTGTAGGTCTCGACTGTCAGTATAACTTTCTTGTCAAATATTCTGCCCGATAACGTCCAATATGACCTATTTTCGTTCAGGGTGTTTGAATATGTCCCGCCGTTACAGCAATGCTTCCGGTGCTTCAGGTTCAACCATCCTGCGAAAATTTGTAATGGTAAACAACGTTGCTCGATATGTGCTGGGGAGCATAATTTCAGAGACTGCGATAAAAAAGAGAACCTGTGTTGTGTCAATTGCAGTGGCCCTCACCTGGCTATTTCCAAATCTTGCCCAATAAAAATGAAAAAAATACTTGAAAAAAAGGGTAAAATTACTTATGCCTCTGTTGCAAATGCAATTAAGTCATCTGATTTTCCGTCTTTACCGGCACAGTCGAACAGCATTGTTAAGAGCCTACCATCAATAAGCCAAAATGTACATAAATTAAATAAAAATGTAAAAATTGTAAATAAAACAGTGCCTGAACCCAACTTGAACCAAACTCAACTAAAGGCTCAAATTGCAAACAATAAGAACATTCTAATGGCAATGGTTCAAACTTTAGTTGAATTGGGTAATAAAACAGATAATGAACCTGTGACTACTCTGTTCATTAAAGACTTACTTTTAAAAAATCTGTCACATTAATGGACAGTACAGTACAGAACATACAGCAGTTATGTATAGCTCAGTACAATATTCAAAGTATACATGGGAAAAAACCCTTACTGTCTAAATTTTTAGCTGAACAAACTGTTGATATATGTCTACTCAATGAAACTTGGCTTAAAGATACTCAGCATTTTAAAATTTCAGGATATAATTCCCACTATCATAATGCTCAAAATGAGCATGGTGGAGTAGCAATTTTGATCAAACCGTATTTTAAATATAATATTATTCAAACCAGATTTTACCAAGATATTCAGACTATAGCATTATCGTTATATGTAAGTGGTAAACACTTAACGATTCTATGTGTATACTGCCCTCCCTCGAATGGTAACTTCAGAATAAGTAAACTGCGTAATATAATTAGAGATTTGCCTAAGCCAATATACGTGGCTGGAGATTTCAACGCTCATCATGTGGCATTTGGATGTATGACCACGAAAAGTCGGGGTCATCAATTATACGATTTAATTGATGAATTTGATCTGTGTGTCCTTAACAATGGAAGCTTCACTACTATTAATTATCCTAACCGAAATCCTTCAGCTATTGATGTCAGCTTTTGTAGTGCTCCAATCACTCCACTATGCGAATGGTGGGTGCATGATGATTGTATGGGTAGCTATCATTTTCCTACGCTTACTCGTGTTTTATTGTCCGTTGATAGATACCAAATTAATCCTCCCATTGAAAAATTCTTATACAACAAGACAAACTGGACGAAATACAATGAGCTGTCTATAACTGCTTTTTCTAATTTTGAAGTTAATAATGAGAATCCATTACAGTCATATGACGAATTTATCGAAAGACTTGATACACTTAAGAGGGATACTGTACCAAAGTTTGTCAAAGCAAATAATTATCGTTGCAAACCTCCAGCACCTTGGTGGAGCGACATATGTGAACAGAGTGTTATTAAAACTTATGAAGCTTTAAAACTGTACAGAAGGGATCCAACCATTGATAATTATATTAATTACAAAAGACTTAATGCTGTTAAGAAAAAGATTATTTCAGAACATAAACGCAATGGTTGGGTGAACATCTGTAATACTTTTAACAGAACTACACCTGTTAATATTATTTGGAAATACATCAAGTTATTTAAACGAATAAAATGTAATAATAGAACATATAAAGATGAATTTGTTGTCCCTCTCTTAGAAAAATTATCTCAAAATGGATGTAGGGTTATTGATAATCTAGAAAGTTATTTTAAAAATTAATAATAGCCTTCAGAAGTCCAGTTTCCTCATAGAACCCTTTACTTGGAGTGAGTTTTGTACAAGTTTACAATCCAGACGAAACACAACCCCTGGTTTAGATGATTGTCCATACATTTTGATTAAAAACCTAAATCAGTCCGTTCAAAAAAACTATTAGCTAATCTTAATGCTCTTTGGCACTTAAAAAAATTCCTGAATCTTGGAAAACACAGTGTGTAATCCCTCTACTTAAGCCTGACAAGCCACCTGAAGATCCTAATTCGTATCGTCCCATATCATTGTCATCTTGTGTTGGAAAGCTTAATGAAAACATGATAAAGATGCGTCTTGAGTATTATGTAGAGGCGAACAACATCATTCCACATGTTCAATATGGCTTCCGGAGAGGGCGAAGTTGTGCTGACAGCTTCATCTCTCTCTTGTCAGATCTGAAATATGCCAATAATAATAATAAGTCCAGTGTTTGTGTTTTTCTGAATGTTCAAGGTGCATTTGATAATGTTGATCCTGGCATTTTGGTTCAAGTTCTTTCTGACATTGGTATACCAGGCATGCTTTGTCATTGGTTATTTAATTTTTCAACAGATAGAACTTTGTATATAAGATATAATAATATTCTCCATGGTCCCAGAAAGGTCTCCAAAGGTACAATGCAGGGGGCTACATTATCTCCATTGCTGTACAATATATATACTAGTCAAATTCTTAATTTTGTAAATATAGAAGGTGTAAATATTCTACAATTTGCGGATGATCTTGTAATATATTGTACAGACCATAGTGTAGATAGAGCTGTAAATAATATAAATAATGCTTTAGACCAATTGTACATATATTATAATGACAGGTTGGCTCTAAAGATTAACCCCAACAAAAGCAAGGCCATGATTTTTAGTAAAGATTTCCCCTCTAATGGCATACTCTACAATAATCATCCAAATTCAGTTGTACCTAACC